CGTCCGGATAAACGTGTACACCAGGGGTGGCCAACCGTGGCGCGTCTCATGATTTCTGCGGCCGCATAGAGCAAGTTATTTAAAGTAAGATATTATTATTGTCGTTACAACAATGAGACTGGAACTACGAGTTTATTATTGCAGCACTGGACTGTGGACGTGTCTTGTCCAATCAAGAATTTCAGAATGGTAATTACTTCGTGAATATCTATCTTGTAGAATCACACTTATTAACAATTAAATATGGAAATTGTACAAGCTGAAAGTTTGATTCGTATCTTACTGAATTTTTACAGAAACCGAATCTAACGAGAATTAATCGTTTCTAACTTGTGAATTGAACCACTTTTTTTTTTTTTGTTGAAAATTAAACTTGTTTCTCTTGAGGATTAAACTGCTAAATTAATTCTCCATAATTAGAACAACGCTGGTTCAATCAAATTTAAAAGACGAGCCGTTTATTAATTGCTTTGCTGTAAGTTGTCTGAAAACGATAAGACGATCGATGCAAACCGTGCTCTAGATGACAACAAACATACAGACTTGCGGGTTAATCGACGTCTTGATCTACGTGATGTTTCTGAATCCTGATTTTCTAAACATTGATCAGAAATTTTTTAAAAGAATGCCCAAAGGAAATCTAGACCGAGATTCAGGGCGCAAGAATGTTCAATATTACGCTAACAATTATTATTATTTATTAGAGTAAGTTATTTTGTCTTTTTCTAATGTCCTCCTTATATGTTTATTATTTATAAACACGTTAAAATAATGTTGTTCAAATAATTTTCAGTGGCGTATCAAAGTTCACTTGTAGAAAGAATTGGCCACTCCTGGTAGTTTAGTAGAACGCGATTTGAAAAATATCATTTCTCTGTTAGTTAATTTAATATTACATTGAACAGACATGTTAACGATAAGTTCAGTTTTCTATCTGTATACATGAAGTTCATATTGCAAACGTATTCCTTATGATGTCTTCATAAACACAAAACAAAATAAACGAGCCATCCAAGATAGCAATCGAGTTTGCAACGAGATCAGGTTCAGCCTTGATGATCGATTATTTGCATATGGTATTACAACGGAAATAGGAAGACATGTTTCAGATGTGTTAGAGGAGGCCAGAGTGCAGAGGATACGAAAATGGTACGACCATTCCTGAAATAATAGCTACTTTATTACGATATACGAATACCATTCATCATACTTGTCACAAGTGAAAAATATCGTTCGAACGGATTTACTTTTTTTTTTATCGACAGATTTTATTATGTAATATAAACTTATGTGTTATACATTGCTACATGTTCTTGCTTAACGGCTAGTCCTATCGGCTAGGTCCTTAGATGCTAGAATGCACAGTGACTTGTACAGAATCATTCTCCTTCCTTCCCTCCGATCGGGTCTCTCTCATTGATTTGTCATTGTCTTCCGTGAGCCTTCCAGTTCACACGTTAGGGAGAAGAGAGAAAGAGAGGAAGAAGTTAGTTATATATATAATATATATATATATATATATATATATAT